ATGCAGTGGCACAATCTCAGCTCGCTGCAACCTCCTACTTCAGCCTCTGACTGAGTAGTTGGGATTACAGGTGCCTGCCACCATACCCGGCTAATTTTTGTGTTTTTAGTAAAGATGAGGTTTCACCATATTGGCCAGGCTGGTCTTGAACTCCTGGCCTCACGTGATCCACTGCCTCGGCCTCCCAGAGTTTTGGGATTATAGGCGTGAGCCACCACACCCGACCTAATATTTGCATTTTTTATAAAAACAGGATTTTGCCATGTTGGCTAGGCTGGTCTTGAACTCCTGGGTTCATGTAATCCTCTTGCCTTGACCTCCCAAAGTGCTGAGATTACAGGTGTGAGCCACCATGTTTGCCCAAAGTTTTGACTTTTTATATTTATTTCAAGTTGTTTCATTCTGTAAATTCTGTAAATTTAGTGACATTATTGCTTTGATCTGTTATTTACTTACTCAGGTTTGAATTTCATATTTCCATTCTGTAGTTATATCATCTTATCTTTGAACTTCTGTTTTATTGAGTTTGCATTCTAAATAACTTCTTGGGGAATGTGCTTTTAACACTTAAATATAGTCCATTATATGTGTGGGGGGTGTGGTCTGGGAGAAAGATCCTTCTTCCCCCTTGCCCTACTGGCTGTTGGAGGTAATCAACCGTGTCTACCACATTCTCCATAATAATATAACAAAATTTTGAAGAGAGTGTGATTTGGAAAGACTATTTGTTTCATCTGTTAAGATATTTATTATACATGTATGTATATATGTGGTATAAATAATAAATTAAAATGAAAATATTCTGAGAAAATTCTTTAATCTCAGGAGTACACCTCTTGTTCCCTCTAGATTTTGAAATGGTCTGTTTTAGTTTGATAACAATGTATTCATCAAAATAGATGTCTGGGTGGAGAAGGCCTGATACATTGTAAGTTGGAAGCTCTTAATTAATTTCTAAGTGAAATAATGGGCCTTTTCTTGTTCTCATTTATTAGGAAGTACTTAAGGCTGTGTCATCTAAGTTGCTGATTCATTCCAATTTTTAAAATTTGTTGTGGAAATATTCACATTAAAAAAAAAATTAGCTCATACTGACCTTTGTGAAATGCTTTAAAGAACTCTGTTAAAAAATGTTAGTTAAAAATAAGTTTTCTCGGGCTGATGTCCTTCAGAAAAACCAATTTCTCTTAGATAAGTAACTTCATACATTTTCATATACAGCACATAGAGAAACCATTCCTGGTATAGTGGAGCTACATTCTGGAAAAGCTTTTTTTTTTTTTTTTTTTTTGAGAAAATAAATCTCCTTTCTTCTTCACCCTTGTCCCCATGATTCTCTGTATGTCCAGCTGAAAGTTAATGTACTTGTCTAGCATGGGGCTTATAGTATGCCATACGTAGGCACTAGATGATTGTGCTGGTTAGTTATCCAGTTGACATGCTCACCATTTTCTAATCTGAGCATTTCTAGCCATGTTATTGGAATTAAAAATTGAAAGCCAGAAATTGACATTTGCTTTTTTAACATTTCCTTTAGTGGTTATCTACTGCCTTCCTCAAGGGAGTAGTAGAGACCTTGACAGATTCCCTATTACAAGTAATTGCTTCCAGAGCTGGATGTTATTCCTGTTATTTAGAGGCCAGTAGTGTTTAGTGCCTGTATATATAAATATATATTTTGTGTGTGTGTGTGTGTGTGTGTGTGTGTGTGTGTGTGTGTGTGTATATATATGATTTCATCTTTAAAATAATGTATTTATTGGCTATAATGATTTAGTTTTTATTTTTATTTGTTGAGCTTACTTAGTGAAAGGTGAAAGATTTATTCAGTCTGAGGAGAAACATGAGTATGAGCTTACTTAGAATATAAAATCTCTTTTGTGAGTTTATATTAGTACTTTCTCTCAGTTTGTTTCCTAAACATCCTTTTTGTGTGACTAGCCTTATTTTTGCATTTCTTATAATTGTAAAAATTATATCTTTATATCGTATACTGTTAGTAAACTTATATTACTGTTTTATGTCATTTTGGGTTTCCTAAATTTCCTTTTCAAGTTTTTTACTGTAAGTCACAATTCCAAGAGAAACAGAAGTTTTGTTTTTAATAAAAATTTTTCCCAACATTTTACTTCAGTAATTTTCAGATGGAAAGTGATATCAGTGAAAGTGGCAGAGTAGAGAACTCCCAAGAGCTTGTCCCTCCACAGAGATACAAGAAAATCTGGTAAAAATAGCCTGAATCAACTTCTTGAATTCAGAAAATAGTCACAGGTTTATAACAACCACATAAACATTTAAGAAAAAGAGGCATGAAACTCAGGAGTGAAGATTTGTGGCATTTTAACTTACTCTCACTATATCCTCCCTTCTCTGTCACAGTGGCAGGGGCTGGAAGGAACAGAGTAGATTCCTTTATCAAAGAGGTGTGATTATTTGTTTTGTACTGTCTGGAGGATCCCTAATGCAAGGGACATGCCTTTATTTTGCTGAAATCGGAGCTCCCTCAGACCAAATGATCTACTGATGCCACCTGGGGCAATAGATATCAATTGGAGTAAACAATGGATATGTCAAGAAGCCTGGAACAAAAGGCTGGAGGATGAAATGCTTTGTGGAATAAGGATGTTGAGAAGCTCCTGTGTATACTGTAGGATCTTGAAAGCCCATTTCTTGCTTAGGGTTAGACACCTGCTCAGAAAAGATCTGATAAGAACCTAACTTTTTACCTCAGACTGACCTTCAAGCTCTGCATGAGTGGAAGTGATGGCTAAGGCAAACTTTTAAATGGCCCAACTAAGTTTATGCAGACTGCCAGCTAACAGAACAGTAAACACTTCCATGACCACATGTGACAAAGAATGTACTCTTTTCAAAAATAGCTTAGAAATGACCGTAAACAAATAAAAAAAACTGATAAGCAGCAACAATAATCCCTGGGGAGGAGTTAGATTCTAAGTTAATTACCGTATTATAATATTCAGAATGCCTAGTTTTTAGCAGAAAACATTGAGGAATGTAAAGAAACCAGTAAATTTGTTCCATCCACAAGAAAAAAAGAAAATCCAGGAAGTCCAGACATTGAATTTGCTAGCCAAAGGGTTTTAAATCACTGTGTTAAATACGCTGAACAGCTAAATGAAACCAGGAAAACAATGACTCTCCAAGCAGAGAATATCAGTGTATAGAGAGAAATGATAAAAAGAAACCAACTAGAAATATTAGAGGGAAAAAATATAACAAATGAAGTATTCTATTCACAAGTAGAGATCATCAACAGATTTGAACAGGAAGAAAATTAATTGGTGAACTTAAAGGTAAGTCAGTTGAGATTATCTTGTCTAAGGAGTAGAAAGTCAAAAAGCAGGAAGATGAAGAAAGCCTAAGAGACTTAAGAGGCCTGTGGGATTCCATCAAGGGTACTGACGCACATAATACATATTCCAGAAAGAAAGGAGAGAGAGAAAGGGGCAGACAGAATAGCTGAAGAAAAAATGGCTGAAAATTTCCAAAATTTGATGAGAGACACTAATCAACACGTTTAAGAAGCTCATCAGAATCTAAGTAGGAGAAATTCTGAGATACACACCAAGATCATGATGTGGTTTAGCTCTGTGTCCCCACCCAAGTCTCACCTTGAACTGTAATAATCCCCATATGTCAAGGGTGGGACTAGATGAAGATAATTGAATCATGGGGATAATTCCTCCCTTCTGTTCTCCTGATAGTGAGTGAGTTTTCATGCAATCTGAGGGGCTTTCCACTTCACTGTCTTCTCATTCTCTCTTCTGCTACCCTGTTAAGAGGTGCCTTCTACCATGATTGTAAGTTTCCTGAGGCTCCCCAGCCATGCTGAACTGTGAGTCGATTAAACCTCTTTTCTTTATAAATACCTGAGACTGGTATTTCTTTATACCAGTCTTGGGTATTTCTTCATAGCAGTGTATGAATGGACTAATACAGCACGTAAGGATCATGTTGTCAAAAGCCGAGGACAAAAAGAGAATCTTGAAAGCAGCAAGAGAAGTGACTCATTATTTACAAGGTTTCTTCAATAAGATCAACAACTAGTTTCTCATTAGAAATCATGGGGCCAGAAGGCAGTTGAAGAACCATATTTAAAATATTGAAAGCAATAAAAAAATCAACAAATAAGTTCTTAGTTGACAAAGCTTTCCTTTGAAAATGGAGAAATAAGTACATGCCTGTATTGGTACAACAGTCCAATGTTTTAGATGCATTTCAAAGTAAGATGCAGACATCAATACATATTACTCCTAAATGCTTCAGTATGTATATCATTAATTAGAGTTCAATATTTGTTTATGATTATTTTTCCTTTTGTTGATATAAAATTTTCACAGTGAAATGCACAAATCTTAGAGTTTTGATAATTGCATGTAAGTAACACACACAAACTCTTTTCATTATATGAAGTATTGCTGTTATCCTTCTAAGTTAGTTGTTTGCCCTCAGTTGCAAGTATTGTTTTAATTGTCTTCATTATAGTATTGAGTTCAAAAAGTAAAGGATTTGAGATATTACCATACTTCTATGTTTATGTGCGCGCGCATGCGCGCGCGCACACACACACACACACACACACTGTATATATGGCACATGTTTAATGTATATACACACACAAAAGCAGAAACACTGTTGTGTGGATCAGAGAAGACACTTTTTATTCACTCATGGTTATCTTAGTGTCACTTCCCTGCACTTCAGTTCCCCATTAAGGTAATGTTGTGAGGGTTAGTGCCACCTGTATATCTTGGGGGATGGAAGTTGCAATACAGGAGAGGAGCTCCCCCTATATGAATGAATCTCAGAATTTATATAGGACTATGTATTAGTCCATTTCCTGCTGCTGATAAAGACATCCCAGAGAGTGAGCAATTTATAAAAGATAGAGGTTTATTCAACTTACAGTTCTGCGTGGCCGGGGAGGCCTAACAATCGTGGTTTAAGGTGAAAGCCACGTCTCACATGGCAGACAAGAGAAGAGAGAGCTTGTGCAGGGAAACTCCGCATTTTAGAACCATCAGATAGCATGAAACTTATTCACTATCATGAGAACAGCGTGGGAAAGACCTGCCCCCATGATTCAGTTGCCTCCCACTTGGTTCCTCCCATGACACATGGAAATTGTGGGAGTTACAGTTCAAGATGAGATATGGGTGGGGACGCAGCCAAACCGTATCAGACTGTATGTATCTCAGAGCGTATATAGAACTGCTTTTGCATCTGCTCCTCGTCTCCTGTGTAGAGAAAGGGATAGTTACCTTACCTTTCTAATGTAAACACATTTCACTTTTCTGGGGAGAAGAGGACAATGTCTCTTTTTCCATTACCCTGTGGAATTTAAGTGATGGAAGATAAACCCATATGTCTCCTTGGTTGTCTCTCTCTGTCTGACTTCCAAGATTCATTTGCCATTTACTCGTCTGTTAATCCAGATTGCCAGCACTCTTTGCTCAGGAAGTCCTGATCATGCAAAAACATGAATATAATCATGGAACATTGTTTACTGATAACAAAAATCAATTTAACTTGTTGTAGAACTTTATATAATTAGAATCATATTTTTTTGGGGGGGATGTCTTTACTCAGCATAATATTTTGGAGATTGAGCCACATTGTATTAGTAGTTCATTTTTAGTATCTTCAAAATAATAATTTCAGTGTTATTTTGCTGAATAATGTTCTATTATTATTAAATTCTTCTGTTGAAGCCTTTACCTCCAAATGTGACATAGACTGTACCCACTTATGTTTGAATGATGACTCTTCTGCACACCCATGGAGCTGTCATGTTTGCCTCCAGTGCCACAGGTGTTTATATGTTTTTATTTCTGTAGGTTCTGTAGTAAATGTGTGGCCTTCCCTGTCTTACCTCCAGTTCCTACTCTCTAAAGGCAAACAGATCTCTTTTAAGCTTTGTCTTCTATTGGTTATCTTCATATTTTAAAAAAATAACTTGTTTATATGATTTTTTTCCAGTGACTCAGTGTATCCTATAATTTAGAAAAAGGAATATTTTGGAAATAATGAGGAATCAATAAATAATCCCTTTATGAAACTTTAGATAAAGACCTTTTATATTCCAATTATTTTTGGTTTTTTGCTTTTTATAAATGTTAAATTGGTGTTTTGTGGAGCCCTAGTTTTCTACCCTCTCTTTACCTAGAATATGTTTTTTTTTCTGTTTTTTGTATTAGATTTCCTCATAGTATTAAAAAAAAGAACTTTTAATTAATTCCCCTCCTTCTTAAAATGTCCACAATTATTATAAAACCTCTGCTTTAACCCATTTGTTTTTATGCCCTGGAGGATAATTAAACATTAGTTTCAATTCAACACACATTTACTTTCATGTCTCTAATATAAACTTTTTATTTTAGGGATTAAGGTATGGAGAGAATGAATACATGAAGAATCATGATTAGTTCTACTTAGGTTTATCGTAATTTTGTTTCATAATTTGTGATTGAATGAAAACTACTCTAAAATGCATTTTGCTTAACAAAAAATGATTCTATTTTCTTCCCCATCACTGGATCTACATTAATTAGTTTTTAAACAAGTAGGACTCTTATTTCTCATGTCTTGAAACCCTTAGACCTAGGTTCAACATGTTTCATGAGCGTATTTTATTTCAGAAAATTTGAAAAATGCCCTACTGTAAATCCTCCAGATTTCTCAGTAACAAAGTTTGGAAACTACTGCATTCAGAAAGCTTGTTTCTTTGATTCTAGAGTTGAGTATCTAGTCATAAGAAATGAGATGTGTTGTGGGCAATTGAACACTGAATTTTCATGGTGGCTCAACACAAAGTTACTGTGCACAGGTGTTTCTATAATTGTGATATATTGGGGGAGATTCAGTGTTCAATGGTCCTCAAACCCACACTTCCACCTGTGTGGTATAGTGGTCACTGGGCTGTGGTACAAAACAGGTAAAGTGTACAGCGGTAGCAGTTTCTTCACAGAAGGAAAAAAAATCTCAAACCACTATGCATATCCTTTGTTGTTTTACATAAACACAAATTTTGGGGAAGGAGACTTTTTTTCTTCTTTGTGAAAAATACTAAATTAAAAGTTTTATTAAACATGAATTTTTTTCCAGTGAATCCATCTCTAATAATGTATTCTATTCCTACTGAGTAACTAATTTGACTGTGTGATTGTTGTATTACTAACCACCTACCCATCCTGGTCTTGTCAGGCACATCTAACCCAATGTCAGAGAGATGTAACACAGTATATCGCTGTGCTGTCTGTTATGGACTGAATGTTTGCCCCACCTCTGAATGCATATTTGAAGACTTAGCCCCAGGTTGATGGTATTTGGAGATGGGGTATTTGGGAGGTAATGAGGTTTAGAGGAGGTCATGAGAGTGAGTCCCCCATGATGGGATTAGTGCCCTTCTTTTTTTTTGCGGGAGTCGGGGGAGTTGGGGGGATCAAGCTGTTCTTTATTTCAGGGAGAGGGCAGGGGAGGGGGCTCAGTCTTTTCTTGACAGCGGCTTTCCTCATGGCGGCCAGGACATTGCTCAGCTCCTCCTTCTTTCTCTTGGCCCGGATGTTTGTCCCCACTTTTTTCTTGATGAACTTGAGGGCGCATTTGTCCTTGGAGACCTTGAGTAACTCTAGGGCCCACTGCTCGTATGGGGCGAGGCCACACACCTCCCGGATCATGTCCCGCACGAACTTGGTGTGTTTGGTCAGATGCTTGCAGCAGCGACTGTGCTTGGGCTTGCTCACGTTCCTGGTTACCTTGCGGCCCTTGTTGAGGCCGGCGGCTACAGGGTAGCAAAAAGCCATGGCTGCTACTCTCCAATGGCGGCCATGGCGGAAGGGCTGGCGCTGTGCGGAACTCTGGCAGGATTAATTAGTGCCCTTCTAAGAAGAGGCACAAGGAGCTTGCGTCCTCTCTTTCCACCATTTGAGGTAGCTGTCCACAAGCCAGGAGGAAGGCCTTCATCAGGAATTGAATCACTTGCCCCTGGATCTTGGACTTTTAAGCCTCAAGAACTGAGAAATAAATGTCTCTTGTTTCAGTCACCTATCCTCTGGTATTTTGTTGTAGCAGACTGAGTTGACTAGTACAGTGTCTCAGATTACATGGGAATGTTGTGATGTATTAGTCATTTTTAAACATTTTGGAAGGGTCTAAGGCCACAGCAGGCTGCAGAGATTGTTTCATCCAGGTGTAAATCTTGAGAGGGCACTAGCACCCTTTAGGCTACCTTAGAATTCAGAAGACAACTGGGTATATTCAGTGTCTTTTATGTGACTACCCTAAATTCCAAGGTAATAAAGGCAAGAGGTGACAGGTAAAGAATAGCAATTCCTGAGTTCAAATCCTGGCTCTACTGCTTTTGATCTCTGTGACTATTGATAATTTATGTAAATTGTGTGTACCTCAGTTCTTTCATCTGTGAAAAACGTAGTAAATACCTGCTTTGTTTACCATATGGGATTGTTTTGAGTTTTTGTTTTTTTTTTGGTTTTTTTTGGGACGGAGTTTCGCTCTTGTTACCCAGGCTGGAGTGCAATGGCACGATCTCAGCTCACCGCAACCTCCGCCTCCTGGGTTCAGGCAATTCTTCTGCCTCAGCCTCCTGAGTAGCTGGGATTACAGGCACGCGCCACCATGCCCAGCTAATTTTTTGTATTTTTAGTAGAGAGGGGGTTTCACCGTGTTGACCAGGATGGTCTCGATCTTTTGACCTCGTGATCCACCCGCCTCGGCCTCCCAAAGTGCTGGGATTACAGGCTTGAGCCACCGCGCCCGGCCTGTTTTGAGTTTTTAAAGAGGTATTTGTGTAAGTGTTTTATTAATATTAGAAGTTTCTTAAGCTGAAGTTATTTCTACTAAGTAGATTGTTACTGGTCACATGTTACAAAAGTAGCTATTTTTCAGCAATGTTTGCTTTGTTAATTTTTATACATAAAAATATTTTGCTGTATGCAGTTTTAACTGTCATGATTTTTTTTTTAATTTTATTTTTCTGTCATTCCTTATGGACTGACAAAAGATTGTAGTGTGTATTTATTTCTTAGGAAATCCATTCAGATAAAATACGTCTCCCTGTGCCTTAAGATCTCATTAAAAAGTAAAGATTATCCCCAGGATCCAAAATTGTGGGTTCAGTTACTGACTTCTTATTATTTTTGTGAACTTTTATGTTTAGAGCTTCAGATACAAAATACATAGAAAGTACTACTGCTTAAGTGTAATTACACACTTTTCTTTATTCTGCGAGCCTGTGGAATAGTACCTTAACAGTATATAAACCATGCCTTTTCCAAAGTATACTTCATGGAGTAATGTTATTTTTTGCCTTCATAAAGCTTATATTTAATGTAACAGCATTTGTCTCTTCTGAAAGTGAATGTTTTAGAGCAAAGTTAAAAGCTGTATTTTATCCAGATTTTTTTTTTCATTAGCATTTGGGTGGTTGGCGTACATGAGTGGAGGGAGACCTATTTTTATATGATATAGGTTCAGATATATTAAATTCACTGCTTTTTAAAAATTAAAATAAGCCTTTTTTTTTTAGAGCAGTTATAGGCTTACAATAAAACTGAGTTGAAAGTGCAGGGATTTCCCATATTCCCTCTACCTCCACACACTCAAAACATCCCCCACCATCAACATTTTATATTATAGTAGATGAATTTACATTAATATTATTGTCACCCAAAGTCCACAATTTACTTTAGAGTTCAGCCTTGGTGTTGTACATTCTATGAATTTTGTCTGATATATAAAAACATGAATACACCATTGTATTTTATCATACACAATAGTTCTGCTGCCCTAAAAATTCTCTATGCTCTACTTGTTCATCCCTCCCTCCCCACTAGTGCCTGGCAATCACTAATGTTTCTAATGTCTACATAGTTTGCTTTTTCCAGAATATCATATCAGTGGAATCATACAATAGGTAACCTTTTCAGCTTGGATTCTCTCACTTATATTGTAATATGCATTTAAGTTGTCTCCATGTCTTTTCATGGCTTGATAGCTCATTTATTTTTAGCACTGAATACTATTCCTTTGTCTGGATGTACCACAGTTTATTTAACCACTTACCTACTGAAAGACATTCAGGGCACTTCCTAGTTTTGCCAGTGATGAATAAAGCTGCTTTATCCATGTGCAGGCTTTTGTGTGGACATGTTTTTAGATTTTTGGATAAATACTAAGGAGTGTGATTGGTGGATTGTTTGGTACCAGTATGTTTACTTTGGTAAGAAACTGCCAAGTTGCCTTTCAGAGTGGCTGTACCATTTTGCATTCCCATCAGCAATGAATGAGAGCTCCTATCACTTTATATCCTTGTCTGTATATGGAGTTCTCAAGTTTTTGGACTTTGTCCAATAAGTGTGTTGTAGTATATAATTTGTTTTAGTTAGCAATTCCCTAATGACATGATTTTGCACATGTTTTTATATGTTTATTTGCCATATGTGTATCTTTTTTGGTGAGATATCTGTTCAGGTCTTCAGCCCATTTTTTAAAAAATTGGGTTGTTTTCTTGTTGAATTTTAGGAACTCTTTGTATATTTTGGATAACAGTCCTAAAAGATATGTCTTTTGCAAATATTTTCTCCTAGTTTGTGGCTTGTCTTCTAATTCTTCTGATCTTGTCTTTTGCATGTAAAAGTTTTAAATTTTAATGAAGTCCAACTTATCAATTATTTCTTCCAGAGATCATGTATTTTGTATTGTCTCTAAAAGTTGCCATAACCAAGGTCATCTAGATTGCTATGTTAGTCTCTAAAAGTTTTATAGTTTTGTGTTTTATGTTTAGTCTGTGACCCATTTGAATTAATTTTTGTGAAGGGTGTAAGGTCTGTTTCTACATTCTTTTTTTTTTTTTTTTTTAAACATGTGGCTCTTTGTTTATTCCAGCATCATTTGTTGAAAAGACTATCTTTTATCCATTGTATTGTCTTAGCTCTTTTGTGAAAGCAGTTGGGTGTATTTATGAGAGTCTGTTTTTGGGCTCTCTCTTCTGTTCCATTAATGTTTTTATCTGTCCTTTCACAAATACCACACTGTCTTGCTATGTGTAGCTTTATAGTAAGTCTTAATTATGGAAAACTTTAAACATACATGAAAGTATGGCTGACAGTTCAGTGAATCCCTGTGTATACATCACGTAGTTACATTGTTCATCAGCTCATGGCTGCTCTCGTTTTGCTACCCCACCCCATTCCAAGATTTCATGTAAAATTTTAGATATCATATAATTCATTTCTGTCTATTGAGAGCGTATTTATATCTTCACTTTAAAGAAACCACAAAGTCTTCTCCAGTATAAGTTGGTCCCCATTTTGTAAATGCTTTTTTTTTTTTTGGTGCAGTTTAAATATACATTTTAAAAGAAACATGAAAAAAGTATTCTGTGGTAGTATTTTATTGCATACATGTACATATTTTAAACGTGGAAAATAAAACATTCATTTATAAGTAGAACATTTTATACTCATTTTATGAGATGGTTTTATCACATATGTTTTAGAGATATTTTGAGAACTCCTTTTAGAGTCATTTAATAGTTTTGCATTGGAAAGCACCTTTTTTTTTTTTTTTTTTTTTTTGAGACGGAGTTTTGCTCTTGTTACCCAGGCTGGAGTGCAATGGCGCAATCTCAGCTCACCACAACCTCCGCCTCCTGGGTTCAAGCAGTAATCCTGCCTCAGCTTCCCGAGTAGCTGGGAGTACAGGCGTGCGTCACCATGCCCAGCTAATTTTTTGTATTTTCAGTAGAGACGGGGTTTCACCATGTTGACCAGGATGGTCTCGATCTCTTGACCTCGTGATCCACTTGCCTCCCAAAGTGCTGGGATTATAGGCGTGAGCCACTGCGCCCGGCCCAGCACCTTTACTTCTATGTGGATTTTTGGAGATACACATTACCTTGGAATATGGATACAAGGCTGTCATAGAAATATGTTTCAAACTTTGAGTACTCATTCACATGCTATTAGCATAGTTACTTAGAAGTGTTTTGTAAAAATTTATCAATTCTCCCTCATTTATTTATTTATTAGTTATTTTAACTGCCTAAGCTCTAGAGCCAGTCATGTTTTTTATGTGAAAGAGCAGATTTTATGGCTTTATAAGTAATGTTTTCTTTCTTAGTCAGATTTCAGTCAAATGGTTCTGTCTTTTTGTAATAGTAATATCAGTATTATACTGGAACAATGTTGGCATTACTAATGACTATATAGAAAAACTGATACCACAATATAAAACATTTTAATTAGTACAAATTAGAAACCCCCTGTATGATAATGCCTCATTTCTGTAGGCTCAATAGAAATGTGTAATAATTGATTTTCTAAAACCTTTTCATGCATTTGTAAAACACATTTTTCTTGTCTGTTGGCAATGGAAAATATAATGTTTACTGTTTTATTTTTAAATTATGTTTTTTATTATCTGTATCACAAGAAATCAGAATATCAAGATGATTGAAATGATATGAATAATATACTAAAAATAAGGGCTTCATGTATAAAATAATATCTCAAGGCTTCATAACAGCCATTTTAGCTACATAAGGGTTTTTTCTACTTTGTTTCAAATTCATAGATGTATTAATTGAGATTGCCTAATATCAGTCTCTAGTCAAGAAATATATTTGAGGGTATAGAATAAGCTCAGAAGATCAAGCAGTTCTACTAAAAACAGAATATTTCTAAAAAGTGCTTTCAAATAAAAATGGAGGAATATTAAAATTAGATACTAAATTATCTTTTATCTATATGAAGTATGGTTAGTATATCAAGTGGAGTAAGTGGAAACTTACTGTAAAGTAGATTTCATAGTCTTTCAAATTCTTTTATTTTTACTCTTAATCAGATGAAACATTTTCCTTAATATATCTTGTTTATCTTATTTGTTTATTCTGTTTCTGGACGAAGAGAAAGTCAAATTCATTTCATCATATATTTAACATGTTAAATAAGAATGATGATTTTTTAAACCATTCAGAGTTCTCTCAGATATAAACCTTGATTCTTCCACTTAACTTACTTAAGTATCTGGGCTATATTATCTCTAAGAGAGCACAAATCTTCCTCTATCTGATATGTCAAAAGTATTACAAAGGTAAAATCAGTTAGGTTGACATTTTAAAATATTACTGAATTTAAAGAACTCTGTAAGTGGTTGCTGAAAGTGTAGTGCTTTATATAAAAATCATATAAAAATATATCTGACTTTTTTGAAAAATTCTATTGTGTTGCATTATCTGCCACAAAGCTCTCTTTTACCCCTTTATTCCTTGAACATATTAATCATAGTTGTTTTATAGTCTCAGTTTGGGCTACTATAACAAAAATATCCTAGATTGTATGACTTAATAAACATTTATTTCTCACAGTTCTGAAATGTGGGGAGTCCGGGATCAAGGTTCTGACAGATTTGGTGTCTGGTGAGGGTCTACTTCTTGGTTCATAGATGACTATCTTCTCCACATGATGGAAAAAAGGCGAGAAGGCTCTCCAAGTTTCATTTTGTAATGGCACTAATTCCATTTATGAGAATTCTATCT